CACTGAGCCTTAAGCAGAAGTTGCACCTCCATCTGAGTAGCTAGCTCGGCTTTCCTTGAGCTAAGCCTCCTTGTTTAAATCTTGCTTAAACCTTGCTATATCAGTCATCAATTCTGAAGGAGGTGGTGGTGGTGGTGGTGGTGGTGAGACACTGGCACGATGGGGTCCTTCAGCCCAGGTACTTCTGGTTTAGTATAAATACCCTGATAGTTATTCTTTCTGTCACTCCAAACCTCCAGTGATATCCCTTTAAATCAGGCATAGGCAAACTCGGCCCTCCAGATGTTTTGAGACTACAATTCCCATCATCCCTGACCACTGGTCCTGTTAGCTAGGGATGATGGGAGTTGTAGTTCCAAAACATCTGGAGGGCCGAGTTTGCCTATGCCTGCTTTAAATCCACAAAATTCTCACCTTGGCATCTTAAACTGATGTCTGTTTTTCTTCTTCTGTGTATCTCAACCCGCATTAGATGACTTCTGAATTTGATCTGGAGAAGGGAGAACTTCTGACATACCTAGTTTGCCTGTACCAGAAGACAAAATTAAATAAAAACAAAATTTTCATTGGAGCGGGGGTGGCGGGGTGGAGGACACATTTTTGCTTTGGCAGAAATCGGAACTGCCATTTTCAAATGCACAGCTGAGTTAATTTTATGAGTGTTTTCACACATATGTAAGGCAAGGTTAAAAGAAGACAACAGTATGCTTGCACACAGACACAAAAACACAAGAAGAGCAGCATCTGTTCTTCCTAACCACCACCATGCATAGATCTTTAAAAAATAAAAATAAAAATATAGTTTTATTAATTTCCAATATACAGACACCCCCCATTTATGCATTTAGTATGTACGCAACTGTGTGTATATGCATTGTGCTGAACCTGGAAGTGAATTAAGAATCGCTAAAACAGCCCCAGAAGAGGCGTGAAGCTGTCAGAAAAGTTGCAAAAACAGAACCTTGAAATCCCACAGGCCTTTACAATTGCAATCCCAAGAGGCCTTGCACCAACCATTGAGGCCTGTGGAGAGTTGGAGTTTGAAGGAAGAGGTTGAGAGAGAGGAATTGTGCTGGAGTTTGGAGGTTTTGGAAGCAATTTTTGAGTTGTTCTTTGAGATGGCACCTAAATGCACAGCCTCGTCACCTTCCTCAGGTGATGACAAACCCAAGAGTGGTACCCACGCTGGAGGAGGAATTGGAAGCGCTACACTGCTGACAGGATGGCTTGAGCATGTGTGCTGTGGCACACAAGTTTGGCAGGAATTGTTAGTACAGTGGTACCTCGGGTTAAGAACTTAATTCGTTCCGGAGGTCCGTTCTTAACCTGAAACTGTTCTTAACCTGAAGCACCACTTTAGCCAATGGGGCCTCCTGATGCCGCCACACTGCTGGAGCACGATTTCTGTTCACATCCTGAAGCAAAGTTCTTAACCCGAGGTACTATTTCTGGGTTAGCAGAGTCTGTAACATGAAGCGCATGTAACCTGAGGTACCACTGTATATCAGTCCTCCACTGCTGGGTGTGTGATGGTTACATCACACGTCCATGTTTACTTTCTAGGCTTGGAAAAGCCTGAGAACGGAAGCTAGCCTTATCTCTTCCGCTCTGTTGTGCTTTTGTACTTTTTACTTTCTGTTCTCTCTCAGAGCTGAAGTGAGAGGACGCCATGATCGTTTGTCCTGTAAATATTGCTGAATAAAAGCTTAGAATGAGCACATAATTCTCCACTTCGTTTCTGCTGATCTCTGTTGAGTGTGCGTGCACATAGGCATCTGCTATGTGTCGCTGGAGCATCCTGGGACTATTGATTTATGGATGTCCCGGAGCTGTGCAACACCAGGAAGACGCCCAGAGAGGTTTCGTCTCATCTCGGGGGCTGCATGCCCCCCCCGGCGTATCCTCGTACCTACAGGACCGCCTCTTCTGGTATGCCCCATGGAGGACCTTAAGGTCCATATACAGCAACACCCTAGAGGTCCCGGGCCCTAAGGAAGTTAGATTAGCCTCAACCAGAGCCAGGACCTTCTCAACACTGGCTCCGGCCTGGTGGAACGCTGTCTCATGAGACCAGGGTCCTGCAGGATCTGATCTCTTTCCGCAGGGCCTGTAAGACAGAGTTGTTCCAACTGGCCTTTGGCTTAGAATCAGTTTGATTCCCTCCCCCTCTTTCTTTTTCCTTTCTCCTCCGGTGAAGAGGCTACATCCTAATGTTTTAATGTTGTATTTTAATCTTTTTTAAATTGTATTTTAATCAACTTCTTTTTATTATTGGTTGTTAGCCGCCCTGAGCCCGGTCTTGGCTGGGGAGGGCGGGGTGTAAATAAAATTTATTATTATTATTATCCTGACAGGAATGAGTCCAGAATACGTGCCGTTAAGGTACAAGAGAAGAAAATCCGGGCATTGGAGGCAGCGAGTGCCTGTACACCCACAACTGCCAAGGTCCCCAGCCACATGCAGGATGAGGCCCTGTTGAAGGCATGTGAGGCACTGAACCAACGGCTAGAAGACATGAACCGCCAGCATATCCCCATTGATGGCAACACCTTGCGCAAGAAGAATCTCATGCTGTATGTGCACTTCAGGCAGACAGAGAAGGAGTTCTGAGCCAGTTCTGGCTGGCTGACCCTCTTCAAACAATGCTTCGATTTGAAGAACATCAGCACCTGTGTTGAAGCTGCATCCATGGACCATGAGGCTGCCCAAAAATGTCCCAGCCAAATGAAGAGACAGAAGCGCCAGCTGCCCATCATCATGTTCCTCCTCAAGACACCATCAGCTCCACCAAGTGAGTCTCACCCACAGCCAAGCACTTTGGGGGTACCAGTCTACCTTGTTTGTCATTGTTTGCAAATCATCCTTCAGCAATGAGGAAGACTGAGTGCCTCCATTGCCACCATTCCTACCCGTCCAGTAGGGCTGCTGGTTTGTAAAAGGGTCTTTTTTTCTGGGGTTCCCAGAGGTTTTAGTCTGCAGGGTTTTTCAATGGGTGCTTCAATTAAACACAATTTCACCTATGCGCACAGTGCCTCGGAAGGTAACCCCCACCTATATGGGTGGGTGATGCTGTAGAAGAGAAAAACAAAATCCTAATTTGCCACCCACACGTAGAAATCCTTACTGTAAAAACACATTCATGCCTGAACTCTCAATTATACTTACCAGGTTTTGAAGGTTACCAGAATAGCAATTTTGTCTAGATCTGCAATATGATCAAGATAGGACATGGAAAGGACAGGTCATAAAGGAGTCAGGGTTCTCTGTGCAGACAAGCGCAGAAGGCAGGCAAGCGCAAGGATTTAAGAGGATTAAATGTACAAGGACATATTAAGGGGTCTTCGCTGCAAATAGTAGCTAGCTCCTGCTTGCTTGTGGGATCCCAACTTAACCATCGCTCGATTTGGGCAGGCTCTGAAGTGAGCTGCAATATATTACTGGTGCCATAAGGTATGGCAGCTGGCCTTTGCAGAGAAGGTCAACTACAAAATGAAAGGCACACAAGCGCATTCGAAAAAGATTACTTTATTGGGGAGCATTATGATTTTACTATATGTGTTAATAAACAAAAACCTAACCTATCCTCTCCTTCCCATCATGTAAGACTTTGTAACATGATAATTCTATGCTGGTGTGCATTGTTCGGGCTACTTTCTTCTAATTTTGCTAACTTGAACAAAAATTATGAATGATCTCAAAGGAAATTTTTTATTTTTTATTATCTTCTTTTCTCTTGTCCTGTCATAGCTCAGCAAATGATGTCCAGCTTTCGTTTGTCACATAAATGTATTGTGAAACTCAGGGAATGTTGTTTGGATAGGGACAGTCTTTCTTTTTCTCCTCTGTGCCTTTTTTGTTGTAATGTCTGTTTCACATGTATATGTATATGTGTTTGTGTGTGTGTACTGCAGTGAAAAAAAGAGTGTTAGAAATCGGGACAGAAGTGCTTGGATTGTAACCTGTAAAACTCGTTCAATAAACCAAACATCTGAATGCAGCTTCTGTGCAGTATGGGCTGAAAAAGAACTTGCAGATTGTTTTAAGAATTTTAAGGTCTCAAGTGTAGAATAAATATTCATAAATGCACAAATATCTAAATATATGAACCATGCGTCTGAAATAGTATGTGAGAGCAATCCTGAAGCCATTTTGACTCTCCCAATGAACTCAAATATTCCTCTGCAGTAAGGGAGGCAAACAGGGAAAGCCTTCCCATTGTCTTTTTGCTTGCAAATCCTGTCTTAAGGGCGTATTTGTGTATGAATAGGGTGAGCCCATGACCTGGATTCAGGAACTAAAGTATTAACCATCACAAAAGACTGGCCAGACTGCCCAGGTAATGCAATCAGTGACCATTGCCAGGTATCTGGGCAGGCAGGATTTCTGCTGTAGACTGCCTTCTTTTGTGATGTATGTATGTATGTATGTTTTGAGATGGTGGTCTTGGGCTACAGGGTGGGCAATTTCAAAAGGGCTTGCACACCATCGTTTAGGGTTCTCCCTCCTGAGTGTGGTGAGTGGGGACCATGTTGCAACAGTTCCTTTAATAAAGATCAGGCTTACTAGCCGTTTTGCTTCTCAATATTCAGTCATACCTCGGGTTAAACGTGCTTCAGGTTGAGTGTTTTCAGATTACGCTCTGTGGCGACCTGGAAGTAATGAAGCGCGTTACTTCCGGGTTTCGCCGCTCGTGCAGATGCTCAAAATGACGTCACACACATGCACGGAAGCGGCAAATTGCGAGCCACGCAGACGCGGGTTGTGTTTGCTTCAGGATGCGAACAGGGCTCCGGGGTCGGATCCCGTTCGCATCCAGAGGTACCACTGTACTCTGGTTGGCCTCTGTTATTTTCTCCTACTGCTAGGACTCTATACGGGCTCTGGAATACCCCATAAGGGAAAGGGAGCAGTTTCTCTTATAACACAGATCAAAAACAGTACCCACAGTTAGAACTGTCAAGAAGTATAAACAAAACAAAATAAAAATTCATTCCAGTAGCACCTTAGAGACCAACTAAGTTTGTTATTGGTATGAGCTTTCGTGTACATGAAGTGTGCATGCACACAAAAGCTCATACCAATAACAAACTTAGTTGGTCTCTAAGGTGCTACTGGAAGGAATTTTTTTGTTTGTTTGTTTCAACTATGGCAGACCAACACAGCTACCTACCTGCGCCAAGAAGTATGCTACTTGTACCCCTGGCCATTTTGGCTTTTGTCACAAAGGGTTCTGCCATCCTATCAAAACCATGGAACAGTAAATTGTATCCCCGGGATGCAATCATAGAATCAAAGAATCATAGAATTGTAGGGCTGACCCAAAGGTCATCCAGCCCAACCCCCTGCATTGTGGGAAATTATACTGGGACCAGCAGATCAGCCAGTTTTATAACTAAATGAGCATACACAGGGCATGAAAAAGCTGACGACTACAAAGTCAGAGCTGAATTTTTACAAGATGCCAACCTTCTGATCTTCTGAGAAACTGGACAAAACTGACTCAGTTTCCAGGTCTGAAAGCTAGTTGTTCGCAGTCATCAGCACCAGCCTAATCTGAAATGGCAGAATGAATGTTATCAGGGGAGGGCACTTGAAAAGTAGAAAGAACCAGCTTGAATAGCAAGGAGTACGAGACATTGTCAGTATAAGCAGTCACTAGAGGTGGGTAGAATGGGCTGGTTGAGTCCTGCTAAGACCAGTATTATGACAGATGTTTCCAGTTGTGTATCAATGACCTTGGGGAAAGAATGCGCAGCTGAAGATACAAAATTGGTAGGTCATTCCATGCGACCAAGGGGTGGGGGGGCAGAAAAAGAGTGACCTAGTTAAATGAGGGGCATGAGTAAATACTTGAATAAACAAAACAAAACAAAGCCCTGTGATAGCAAGAGGGGGGGAAGGAAAAAAACCCAAGAAGCACCCGATGCAAGACAAGAATTCAGAGGCGGACTGTTCTCAAACCTCCCAGACTCAAGTTCACTGTCAAAGGCCAAACTTAATGAATGAATGTGTGTGTGTAACGATTGGAGATAACAACTGTGGTTAAATGAAAGACAGAAAGGGCATCTGTACATGAGATTCCCCCTGTCATTCAATATTTTAGTAGAACACAATAACTGGTTATTCAATTTGATAATGGTTAATATATTAAACTTATCTCCAAGCAGTGTACGGAAAACTGAAGCAACAACAAAATATTACAAAAATACACAGTTGCATATAAAAACGCTACATTAATACCAAGTTACACACACATATATAGATATATCAAGCAATGTCAGTTCATTTTCCTTCTGACACATCCTCAGCGTTATCAAAAGGCCCCCAAAACAGATTGCTTGGCAGGCTCTCTTCTCTTTGACTGATGAGCCTAAGTCAGTCTGAACTTCTGGCAAAGGGCTCTGTTTACTCTTAGAAAGCAAGCATTTCTCACGTGGCTTGCAAAACAGCAAACACTTCTCTCTCTTTTTGAAGGGGACACTGTGCTCTACCTATTTTAAAGGGCAAGCAAGACGCCTGGCCTGAACTTCTGGTTTAATGTTTGAGAAAGCTAAAACAAAGGTTGTGACGTCTTTGGAAGTACCTTGGAACAGGTAGCCTGAGAGCCCTATCTGCGTCAGAAATGATTACTTTAAAGCAGGGGTCAGCAAACTTTTTCAGCAGGGGGCTGGTCCACTGTCCCTCAGACTTTGTGGGGGGCTGGACTATATTTTGAAAAAAAGAAGAACAAATTCCTAGGCCCCACAAATAACCCAGAGATGCATTTTAAATAAAAGGACACATTCTACTCATGTAAAAACACGCTGATTCCCGGACTGGATTTAAAGGCGATTGGGCCGGATCCGGCCCCCGGGCCTTAGTTTGCCTACCCATGCTTTAAAAGTCTTCCTCTTCTTCCATCCTGTCCAGGAATCATTGAATTGTAGAGTTGGAAGGGACCGATCTAGTCCAACTCCCTGCAATGCAGGAATCTCGGCTAAAGCATCCATGACAGATGGCCAGCCAAGCTTTGCTTAAATACTTCTAATGAAGGAGAGACCACTACCTTTCAAGGGAGTACATTCTGCTGTCAACTGAACAGCTTGACCCCCTTTTCACCAATCCTTTCTCTTCTTCTTCTTCTTCTTCTTCTTCTTCTTCTTCTCTTCCTTCACATCTTTGGCTTAAAAAACAAAACACGCTGCGTCTTACCAATTTACAAATTCTAGTTGGAAAAAAATCCAGTGTCCGGCCTACAATTGTATCCCAATCATTGCTGTCCTAGACAGCATCTTAAAAAGAAGCAGAGACATTACCTTGCCAACAAAGGTCCGTATAGTTAAAACTGTGGTGTTCCCAGTAGTGGTGTATGGAAGTGAGAGCTGGATTAGACTTGGTATACTTATTTGTACAACATTATTCTTGCTTATAAAACCCAATTTAAAAAATAAAAAAATAACCAGGATTAGAATACTGCTGTGTTAAGAGAAGTATGCTTACGGCATTACCTTCAAAGGAAGACCGGCTGATGGAAATCTTGGAAGACGCAGAGATGGCAAAACTGACGGCACTGATAAGAGACAGAAGTTTAGAATCTTTCAAGGACTGGAAAACCCTTCTGGTAACTTTCCATAGGCTAAGTTCACAGCAGGGCTTGAAGTCTAAGAAGAAGAAAAATAGCAGAACATAGTAAGGAATCTGTTAAAAAGAATGAAACCGGGTAAGATGGAATTCTTAAAATACAACTGCGATTATAAACGTTGAGTGTGGGTGAGTCATTAGTATTGTAGAATAGGATTATAACCGCTGAGTGGCATGGTGTAACTTTGAATATTGAAATAAAACAAAGTAATAAAAGGGAATGGAACGCGGGTGGCGCTGTGGGTTAAACCAGAGCCTAGGACTTGCCGATCAGAAGGTCAGCGGTTCAAATCCCCGAGACGGGGTGAGCTCCTGTTGTTCGGTCCCAGCTCCTGCCAACCTAGCAGTTTGAAAGCACGTCAAAGTGCAAGTAGATAAATAGGTACCGCTCCGGCGGGAAGGTAAACGGCGTTTCTGTGCGCTGCTCTGGTTCACCAGAAGCAGCTTAGTCATGCTGGCCACATGACCCGGAAGCTGTACGCCGGTTCCCTCGGCCTACAGAGCGAGATGAGCGCCGCAACCCCAGAGGCGGTCACAACTGGACCTAATGGTCAGGGGTCCCTTTACCTTAAATAAAAGGGAAAGAAAGGCAGTGAAGACTTAAAGAGTATGTGGGAAATGCTTGGTAAAATATCAAATGCTCAGTAGTTGGGGGGAAACAAGGAGCATGAGCAGTTTCCTGTAATCAGGGAAAGGGCTTCAGTGGAAGCAGAGAACAGTAGCAGGGTGTTTACAGATCACAGAATTCCACTATTCAGGGAGATTTGTGTTTCTTTTGTGTAGGAGTTCGCTTTCCAGCCTTGACGCAGTATATATGGTCCTGTCTGCAGCACTGGCAAGTGTCTCTCTTAAGACTGTATGAATGGGTGGGTTGATTCATTAAGAAGTTGTGAATCAGTTGCCCAAGGAAAATAAACAGTAAAGAATGGAAATTAGCTCAGCACTGTAGAGGTGGTGATAAGTTTATCATCTTCTTTTCCATGAGCTTCCGTGGGTGAAAGCTACTTTCATGACTCACGAAGGGGGCAGATACTCTCTCTTTTCCAAACTAGTTCCCAGGCATGGATGCAAACCTTAACTTGCCGAGTAAGCGTTGAGTCATCATGTAATCCAATTTGCTTGGTATAGCTACGTGTATGAGTCACCGACCAGCCAAAACTGGGATTTCTTGGAATCGCAACACTAAAACACACATGTAACACTGCTACCTTATCTTGTGATACCCTTGATTTGTGCCTCTTACAGACACACAAACGCTCCCTCTAAAGGAACAATGTGCCTCAGGTCATCTTTGGAGGAGGGTCTAGAGACAGACCTGCCAACTGCCAGACCTGTTCTCTGCAATTCACGGAGAACTCACGAGGACTTGCACATAAACTTTAATTCCTAGCCAATTGTATCAATGGCCAGTCTTACACGGTGCCACTTCTTAGGAAATTCTAGCACAGCAGACTGGAAATGTCTACTGTAAATCAACTACGTACAGTCATACCTCGGGTTACAGACACTTCAGGTTGCATTTTTTCGGGTTATGGACCCGCCGAAACCCGGAAGTACTGGAACGGGTTACTTCTGGGTTCCGGGGGTTGTGCATGCGCAGACTCGCCGCTGCGGGTTACGAACGTGCATCCCGCATGGATCACGTTCGCAACCCAAGTGTCCACTGTAGAGTGGTACCTCGGGTTAAGAACTTAATTCGTTCCAGAGGTCCGTTCTTAACCTGAAACTGTTCTTAACCTGAAGCACCACTTTAGCTAATGGGGCCTCCCGCTGCTGCCACGCTGCGATTTCTGTTCTCATCCTGAAGCAAAATTCTTAACCCGAGGTACTATTTCTGGGTTAGCAAAATCTGTAACCTGACGCGTCTGTAACCCGAAGTACCACTGTATTGGAAATGTTGCAACATCACTCACACTGTTGCTTTCTGCAGAACTGAACTGCAAGGAGATAATGTTGGAACTGCCCTGTTGTCTGGAAGAAAGTGGTGATATATGGACTTGCTGAACATTAACCAGCAGGGAACATCTTTAGTTAAACAAAACAAAGGAATAACATTCAATTTCCTAACCTTTAATCCATTACAAGGGCAAACTGAACACTAGAAAACAGACACGAAGAGTAATAAAATGGCTTTTTATAGAATTGTGCTTTTTTAACATTATTATTTATAGGGGAGGATAACAGCCTTGTGAAAGTTGACAGCCAGCTGCAGAGATACCATATTTCTCTGTGTATAACACGACCCCATGTATAAGATGACCCCTACTTTTGGGAGCCCAAAATTTAGAAATTGTTATTGTTGTGGAGGTTTATGGGGGCGATCCCCTGCTCGGTCCCCCACGTCTCAGCACAGCCTTGCCTCGCCAGCCATTTCCCTGAGTGCCTTGCCAACTCACCCAATACTTACCATATAAATCTGTGTATAAGACAACCTCCAATCTTTGCCTTAAAAATTGGGGGGAATTCATTGTCTTGTATACGGAAAGA